AAATACTCTTTAAGGTCTAACCTGATAAGAACCTTACGTAAACGGCATGCATATCGCTTTAGACTAGCTTCGTTTTTCAAGGGTTTAGTGACAAGTTCCATTGATTTATAAGGAAAGAGAGAGACATAGTTTGGGCCTGGGTTTTATGCCAGGTCTCCAGTGTTGCACAGCAGGAAAGGAGGCCCTGCGCCTATTGAGTGCCTGACCTCAGAGGACAGCCAAGCGCTCGGCTCCAACAGTCCACAGAGTTACAGCTGTGCTTTCCACAGAAAACTGTTTGACACAGAACATCTTTAATCCTTGAGCCAGTAAGCTGGAAAAAATCATTTTTCCCTAGGTAATGTGAGCAGTTATAGCATATAGCTCTTTGCCAAGACAGAAAGATCCGAGCTGAAATCAATTTCTATCATTTCACTTAGAGTGTGCTTACTTTGATAACAATGCCTGCTGGGTTCACCTTACCAGAACTTTCCATTGACATGCAACTGATATTACAAAATAACTAAATGATTTGCTCGGCTTTTGTACGTTTGCATCCCTTCTGATTTTACATGTCCTCTGAAATGGTATGTGATTTTATGTTGTCATGTTTTAAAATGTTTGTGTTGATATATATTCTGTAATGTGATTTTATTTGTTGATTTAGTTGTCACATCAAGGACAGAAGTTGAATAAAATACCTTTTGGGTAACACTGGCACATTAAGAAACAGTGTTGTGATCAACATGCATTGACGCCAAGCTAAATTCCTTTCAAGGTTATTAACTCCAAAGTCAGATGCTGCAAAAAAGCAAGCTATAAAATTGGTTTGCATTGACTATTGCATACAGGTTCTACTGCCAGTTGCAGGATAGGACTGTGTCATCTCAACTCAAGACATGTCTCAATGAAGCAGAAGTTGAAAGTTCCTTTTAGGTCCCACATCTTGGAAGGCCTATTATAAATAAACTGATAACACTGGGTGGGCAAGTTTCTCTGCATTTCACACTGTCCCTCTGTCCCCTGAGATTACAGCACAATGTCTTGTGTACTCTTTTTTGTCTTGTTGCTCTTGCAAGGAAAGCCTCCAGTTACAGCTTCCTCTCCATTGTTGCACTTTTGTAGCAGCACCCATCCCACCCCTACTAGGTGGGCACACTATGGACCCTAAACTATAATCTCCCAGGCTAAAGCTGGCACATTGAACTGGACTGTAATAATAATGTTGGTCCCAGGGGAATAATGTCTCCAACTAGTGACCCAATCACCTCTCTTGAAGCAAGTATTCCAACACACAGAGCAGCTTTGTCCACAGTAGCAAGAGTTAGATAGGTGGAAAATAAAAGCTTCATAACGTTACAGTCATATTATAACTAAGCTAACAGGACCTCAGGGGTGTAGCTAGTTATCGTGTTTCACATGTAAACAGACCGGAGTCTGGGTCAACCAGTTAGACCTTGTTCACACAACACTGATATGCAAAAGCTACAGGCAAGACCTGACACATTAGCTTAAAACAGAAACAGCTACTACACCTAATATTTAAGATGCACACACCTGAGTGGCATCAGTGTGTGATTAGGGAGTTCAACTGGCAAGAAACATAACGTTAGAGGGTGTCTTTGGTTGGAAAACACAATACCACGACATGTAGATGCATTTACTTACCAGATAATCCATGTACTATGGCTGACCAGTCACAGCAGCACGAACTGGCTATGTATTAATCCCGTTTTTGCTTCAATGAGTCCAAAATGTAATTGATTTGACCACACGTCGCTTTGTATTCCCCGCCTCACAGCCACTGCAAAAATAAAAACCAACCTTTGGTGTGTTTAAAGCAAAGGTTTTCGCCGTCTTCTTCGATAATAACAAACGTTCCAAAACGGAAACGACTCGGTTTGTTTATAACGACGAGGGCCGCTGGGATCGTGTGCTTTTCTGAACTAATAGCCCCTCGTCCACCGGCTAACTTCCAGTTTTTATCACACAATATCAGTTGAGTGTTTGGTTGAGGAAACTGGCGAAGCCTACAACGCGACGTCAGGCACGTCACTCTGCTCGTGCAGCGTGGTCACGTGACCAAACACATGGGGGCTATTTTCATTCTGGGGAGCGACCGCTGCTTAAATGCTCTTTGTTTAAATCCACTTTTGTGCTTTTTAAATGTCTAAATAGCGGACATATACAGTTTTATTTGGATTTTAGAAGTACATTGACGATCCAATTTGTTCACGGTTATTTTTATTATTTATAGTAATAAACAGTTGTAATAATAATAGTAAGATAAAGTCTCTCACACTGCCAAGATGAGGTAAGGACTTTCTCTCGTCCCCTTATCACTATCAGTGATGTAACACGTATGCACAGATCTACAGGGTTCCATCAGTAAACATTGCAGAAGTAGAACAGCTGCTGTCGTGTGATTTTAAAAGAAGGCAGATTTTGTGATTGATTGGGAGCATCTCTCATATACTGTGTGCATGTTATTTCCGAATACAGGCCTATAGGCTACGTTCATTCAGATAAATAACTTGAGCACATAATACAGTAGCTTATGTATAATATAAGTAACTTATAATAACATAAGTAACTTATAATAACAAGTAACTTAGACTGTATAGTACCTTTCACACATACAATATTATTCAAAGTGCATATCAAACTGTATTAAAAATCAAGGCAGTAGGCACATACTTTTAAATGTAATAAAACAATAACATTAGATGAAAGCAAGGCTACTTCAAAGTATTATTACATTCTAAAAAAGTTTAGAAGAATATAAAAGGTCATTTAAAAAAAGATACAATCACAAATCACATACATATACTTCCACGTTTAATACTGTTACCTGGCTGCTATATTGCTAAACTGTTACTTGTACTGGATGTGTATTTTGTAAATTGTGTCATTTATAGTTGTATCTTTTAATATTTGTATGCATGCTTATTAAGTGTTATTAAGCTATCTTTGGCTCTTTACTTGCTGTACCACATTTTAATCTCCCCTCTGTGGGACGAATAAAGGTACTCTGATTCTGATAGAATTACATGTCCAACATTTGAGATAGTATACCAAAAGGTATTGCACCACTAGGTGGCTCTGTATTGAGTGCTTATTTTTTCCATTCTGAACAAGTAATCGAACACTTAACTCAGGACTCTGACCTTGTGCCTACAAATTCATGCAGTTGATGTTTTCCACATTTTCAAGTTTTTAACGGCACACATTGCAACCGTCTGTGACATAATACATAATGAATGAAAGGGGGTAATATCACGGTTCAAAGTCGAAGGCAGGTTGTTTTGAGGCATGCATGTAGGCCTGAACAGATGTTATAGACAGAAGACAGGGGATAAAGGAAAGGATAGGCGTTTGCCAGGTGAATACAATACCATGTATGTGTTACTGTGTATCAAGAACTGTACACTGTTTACTTCCAGTAAGTGCTTGAGAATATAAATGTATGACTAACTGACACCACTACAGTGAAAAGTCAGTACAGAAAACCCTCGCTGGATTTGGAACACCAAATATGACAAAATGAACAGGATAAAATGTGATGCGAGCTGCATACTGAAGTAATTCCTATTGGTTTAAATACCTATTTAATGAGCTGTGCTAAAAGAATATCTCCCTGAACATAGGGAACTGGATGTCTTCTGCAGAGGTATAAAGGCTGTTTAGAGACAAAAGCAGAGATTTACTTTCATAGAATATTCAAACGTATAAATCAAATATAGTATTATTTATTCGTCAGGGTCAAATGTGAGAGGAGAGACATCTGGTGGCCTTTATTAAAGACTCAGGTGGTTGATTTAAAAAGGTGGTTGACGTTATATTTATTTGTAAGAGACAGTCATTTTCTCGCATACACACACACATCACAAGCTATTTCTTGCTCAAGGACAATTTGAAACATGGACAGAAGGAAGGACGCCCCTAATATTAATGACCCATCTGCTCTTCCACCTGCCCTACAGGTGCCCCCAAGATTGTTTATGGTTAAAAGGGCTATACCGGCATATCATAGTTTACAATCTTATTGTCAGTGGTTACTTTATGGTTAAGATAATACTGCAACTAGGTCAGATACAAACTGTATAGTGTTTAGTAAGTTTAGAAACATTACATTTACATTTCCAGTTTAGGTTTGAACCGAAGTCTTTATTTATTCTATTTCTTAATGTTATCAATATTGTTATTTTTACATATTTGGAAGAATTGACTATCCCCCCATCTAAAAACTACGGTGGCCGGCAGGTGCAAACGCCGAACAACGGCCAAAAACGCATACATTAGCAGGAAACAGCTGCAAATCCTGAAATGAAAAACAAACAAATCCTGAAAACAAATACACCAGAAAAACGCTACATTTATAGAAATGATGCAAACTAAATACAACACACAAACCCCGAAAACAAACGCAACAAAAAAACGCTGCACGATATCACGATATGCAAAGTTCAAAGCACATACAAATCCCAAAACACATTAAAAAAATACATTCCGGAAGTGATCCAGGCCTCTAGGGGGCGCGCTACGTGGAACAGATTGATGTATGACCAGACATAGAGAGAACGAACAAGAGTGTTGCAAATTGAAGCCGGAGGAAACAAAGTTGATCGAAGTGGAAAAAGTCGATATATAAGAAGGTAAAAGAAGAGTTTGCAAGTCAAGAGACAGCACTGTGTGTGCACCTAAATGTAACTCTTGACATCATATATATTATAGGTGCAGAGAGGAGTTGGTTTATTGTGCCCCAATGTAAATCCTAATGTGTGAGTTAAAGGACGATCAACAATATAATGTACCTTGGTCAGCTTGGATTTATCGTGGCATTTATTCTTAATTAAAGTGAATTTATTTTTATTTCAGTCGGTCATTTGTGTGTATGCAGGTGTGGGACATTCCAAATGTTCCAAAAGTGAGCACTCCACGAATGGACAACATTCAGGGTAAAATAAAAACATTGTCAACATATTATTTTGTGCCACAAGAAGCAAAATATTTTAACAGTACAGTAGTTTGAATATATTTGTTGTTTACCTTTATCAGACCTCTCAGGTACCCACAACCAGCGTCTGATCGGGTAAGACTAATTACAAATGTAATTATACCATGTAGGTTTGAATTTGTGAACATGAAATCAATAAATGCCTTTGTGTGCACTTGTTTCCTGGGTAAAAATAGGATGGAGCACCAACCCCATTCCAGGAAGAGGCCCAGTCTGCCCCGGGTCAGAACCACTTCTATAGGTAGACGATGTTGACAGTTGCATCGTGACACAGTTGTGTGGTGTGTATCTTTATTTTACATGTTTGTTTGTATAGCCTCCAATCACAGTGGGTAACATTGCCAGGAAGCAGAACAATTATACTTTCATACATTTCCAAATGACACCCACAACATCTGACATCTTAGTGAAGACGATACAAAAAACACCCACAAATATTTTTCAAAGATCAGATATTGTTTCTTGCATCCATTTCAAATGTTTACAAGGTTGTGCAGGAGTATGACAAAAGTGCTGTTGTCAGTTTAGAAGCCAATGTATGGGAAAAAAAACAGGAAGAGGATCGACATCCTTTTGTAAATATGACTGTCATGCATATATTATGTATTTGAAAATAATTATTCAACTGTCTTCTCACTGCAGCAACTACACAAATGTGTATGCACTTATCCTTATTGATAGCCAGTCTGAGCCAGAAGACAAAATGGAGCAAAGATATTAATTGTTACTATTACCACTTAAGTTGTCTATTCTATACTGTAAATCTTATTACTAGCTTCATCATTTAATATTCCAATACACCACTTTGTCTTTCCCAGCACAGAATACCTGACTGCGGCACACATTGTTGCAGAACTCTCTGCAAAAAGAACAAATACATCTTGCAGCAGGTTCAATATTAATAGAGCCAATGTATGGGATGGAGCAATCCGCGGCTTCAAAGGTGCCTCATTCGATCCCTCTCATGAGATGTCAGTTAAGTTCACTGATGATGAGGGACACACTGAGGATGGAGAGGACACTGGTGGTCCCAAGCGTGAGTTCCTGACCCTCCTTATGGAATGCCTGAGAATGAAGAAAACATCACGTCAGCAACTGTTTGTGCCCCATGGCGATGTGACTTTCCCAGCCGCTCACTGTCTCAAAATCTGATTCTAAATGTATAATGTTCTCTATAAAGATAGAACTAATACACAATTATGAATGTATAATCATAAGCTGTTTTGTGTATTTAATCATGCATTGGTCTACAATTTAATGATGGCTTCTACATATTTCACATAAACAGACAATGAAAAAATGGGTCCTTCATGCTAATAACTAGTGTATGCATCTGCCAATTAGTATTCTAAACAGAGTAGTGTGTTGAATCCTTATTTCTTGAATTTGAAACAGATACAATAAAAAAAAGTGAACTTACTGTTGTGTTCAACTTCTGCCAAAAACTGTACAATTTTGCTACAGGAGCCACAAAACACTTGAACTGTCCCCAGATGTTGGCCACAGAAAGGACAAAACATGGCGGCCTGAAAAGACATACATTGATGTAGTAAATCCATTTAATCAAGTCAATCAAAAACACATAGTCTAAATAGTGGTTAGCTAAATAAATAGAAAGATACATCATGTTTACCGTTGAATCTGTGTTTTGTCTCTCTCTCTCTCCTTGAATGTCTTCTCTTGTTCTTGAGCATGTCTAATGCACACTACTCTCCTGTCATTACTTTGTCCCTCTTCACATGTTGTCACATCTCTCTCTCTCTCAATTCAATAGCTTTATTAGCATGACCATAGTTACAGGTAATTGCTAAAGCTCTGTATAGTTGCAACATCTATACACAAATACATACATATAAACAAACTGCTAATAATTCAAATGTCCTTTTTCCGCGGTACTCACTATGGCCCGTGTTATTTGCCTGCACTTGATTTGTCATCTCTTTTAACAATGTTCTTCCCTCACTTTATCTTCTCTTCACGTGAAGCTCTCCTCTCCTCAGCTGGTGTAGTAGTTAGGCACGCTAACGCTAGCTATATAAATATGACGCTCTATGTATCAAAACAAAACGTACCTTCTTATATCTTTATTATAAGAACTTTATTTCCTCCCGATTTCCATCACTCTTGTTCGTTCTCTCTATGTCTGGTATTACATCAATCTGTTCCACGTAGCGCGCCCCCTAGAGGCCTGGAGCACTTCCGGAATGTTTTTTTTTAAATGTGTTTTGGGATTTGTACGTGCTTTGGACTTTGCATATCGTGCAGCGTTTTCTTGTTGCGTTTGTTTTCGGGGTTTGTGTGTTGTATTTAGTTTGCATCATTTCTGTATATGCAGCGTTTTTCTGTTGTATTTGTTTTCAGGGTTTGTTTGTTTTTCACTTCATTATTTGCAGGTGTTTCCTGCTAATGTATGCGTTTTGGGCCGTTGTTCCGCGTTTGCACCTGCCGGCCACCGTAGAACAAATCTCAAAACAGACACAAGGGGGCAGTGTCTACCAGAGCAAATAGCACACCAACATTACAGGCCTTCTGTTGTCTAGCATATCTTTCTTACAAGGAAATGGTCAGTCAATGTAACAGGTGTTTCGAGGTGTGCAAATATGACTCCTAAATAATAAATTCAAACGCTTTATGTTTCCGTTGGATTTTATTATAGCCTTTATTAGAAGAAAACAATGTTCAGTTTAGGCTTAGTTTCAGTGGGGTGCGAAAGCCAATGCAGTGCGTACAGTGCAGTACGCTCCATTTAAAGAAATAGTTTTAACTTGGATTCCCTGTAGTTTTTATTGAAATCCAACTCTGAAGCTATTGGAGAAAGCTGTGTCCTAAATGCACCGTTAGATCAATCAAATGAATGTCTAATCTATCCAATCTAAAGGATACAATTAAACATTATATCACCTGTATCCTGACCAATGTCAGAGGTTCCTTCACTCTGGAATCGCATTTTATTGTTTTGAACGTTTGTTGGAATGTCAATTCATGAAGCATATCCCATTTTATTTATTTTTTTAGATATTGGCTTTCAAAATCTTACTACCTAAGCTGCAGAATTTAGGCAAAAGTGTGGTTTTCTGCTGGTTTACATGCAACAGTTAAAGATTTGATCAAGATATGTTACAATTGCAACTTAATTGTATCTCATTAATAATTCCACCCAAAGCAAACTCTCCCATAATAAATGTTTAAATATTTAGAAGGCCAAGATACGGCCACGTTTCCATCTTGTTGTGTTTTTATTGTGTTCCAATGCTATGTTTATAAAAAAGATTTTCTGCAAAGAAATATTCTCTAATGGGATAATAAAGATCTAAACTGACTGCATGCTTATAAAATAATGATATGTTTTTCTGCATTAAACCAAATAAAATCCAACCCACAAATATGTTTATTGATTGTGTGTCTTTTGTAGCTACACATTTTTATTTTGGAGGGCTTTGTTGAATCATTTAGGGACACTGGTGAAGACATGTCTAAGTCAGAATAGCTGCTTGCTTTAGACATAGAGATGTCTTTATTTATTTTACAGTGATTGTTGGTGATAGTATTTTTGATTACCTACCTAAATGCAGACATGCAGTAAGTGAGTGCTGCTGAGTCATGAGCTAACAAGTCAGACTGATGTTGGTGTTTTTCTTAGGTGACATTCCTTTCAGCTGATGAGAGATGACAAAGGTTGGGAAGATCCCGGGTTAGCCTGACATCCAACCTACAGTCTAATGTATTCCATTCAGAACTTGAATGGCTAAACCAGATGGGGCTTCTTGCTCTATGACTGGTAAAAGCATATTATTCCAATTGCAGGGTGCTCTATTTAAAGCCCATGTTGTTTTTACATTTTTATAAAAGTAAATGTTTTCTAAAATAAGTTATGTCCGGCCGCTCTGTTGGTGATGAATACAATATGAAAACAAGATAACCCAAAAGATCAGAGCTGACTGCTTTGCCATACTTCAGTACACATTTCAGCCATAAAAGTGGGCAACTGGTTCCCAACTAGGCAGTAGCTAACACTGAGGACTCTTGAGGTCATTTCTTCTGTAGCTTTTTTTTCATAGCAAACATGTGGGGTTTTAGCAGCCAAATGTGCACTTGTATTCCAAAGTTAGTGTGGATATCTGCAACCTACGTATTTGCTGGAAATTATGTGTAGTTTTTTGTTTTGATTTGTTGCTGCTTTCTTGCTTCTATGCATGCATTTTATGGAAACTTTCTAAATAAAATGTTAGATTGTGTCTAATAATGATACAAAATATATATATGAAATTGTAAACCTACTAGTCAGTAAGAGTTTTAAATAAACAAAACAAGTTTTTGAATATTTAACGTTATAAAAGTATTCACATATAGGCTACAGGTACAGGGTGGTGTCAGATAAATGTGTAAGAGTAATAGTAGGCTATTTATTAATGAATTTCAATTCCGAAATGATTGAGGTAATAGTATTTAAATAGACATTATAAGTATTTTTTGATAGGTATTAGGTTACACCAAAAAAACGTGTCATCCAGGGGTTGAATATTAACATTTGTTCAATTAGCTAAGGGCTATATGGCACCATTTTGAGGGAGCTTACTAGCTTTGCTAGTTAATGCATATGTTGACGCTAATGCGTATTAATACTTTTACTTGCTTAGTTTTACTACAGGGTTTATAATTTCTGCACTGTTTTTACGTAGTCTAACAGCCATGAACTCAGTATTTTTTTTTATCATGGTATGCAATTGTTTGCATTAGCGTCAAATTGAGACATTACCGTTTCCCACTGTTATCTCCCAGCCCTCAAATAAACTCTTCACGAATTTGACAACCCATTCTCACACGCTTGTGAGGTTAGTATGCATTATTTTTGAGGGACATGACGTTCTCGTCTGGATGATGTACTTTATTGCAGCACATCAGGCGGTTGATTGGTGTTGTCTGTAGGATTGCCGCATCCTGTAGCTCCGCCCTCGATTATTCAGCCTGGTCGACGTGCGGTTGCTGAGCAGCGTGAAGGCAGAAGCGACCGAGCCGGAGCGGAGGGAGACTGGAGGAGCCCACACATGAATGTTGTTGTAGCGGAAAATACCTTTGCTGCACTTTCACACGCTGCAACCTCTGATTTTAAAAAATAACCACAATTTCCTCTCGGTGCTGACCGAGAGGAAGGACCACGCAGAGAGGAATTAAAACAGGTTCTTTTTTCTCACGAAGGAGAAGTTTGTACGTGGAGTTTGGAGAGTAGTTTCGGGTAGGCTGACTGAGCTAGTCTGGCTGCCCGCTGCGTCTCCCTCCTGCCCGGCCAGCCAGCCTTAAGTTAGCCCGCTGCCCGTCTCAACCTCCAGCTGTTAGTGAACATGGCGCTAAAAGCCAGGGTGCTATACGACTTCAGCTCTGAAAACCCCGGGGAGGTGTCGGTGAAGGAGAGCGAAATCCTCACTTTGTACAGCGAGCAGGATATTGACGGCTGGTTTGAGGGGGTGAACAGCAAAGGGGAGAGGGGTCTGTTCCCCGCGTCCTACGTGGAAATCCTAAGGACCGACACCGCCTCCACGCTCAACAATAACAGCTGCAGCACATCTGGGGACGCTAAGCCTGACTCGCGATATGCAAACATCCCCCCCGAAGGTTTCGACGGCTCTTACAAGCCTCAGAATAAAGTTGACAACTTTACACAACCGTCTGCTCCTAGTATCGCCTCTTTCTCAGCCCCCACACAACCACCACCACCACAGCAGCAGCAGCAGCAGCCCACTTACCAGCAGCCCAGCCAAGGCAGCGATGATGACTGGGATGATGACTGGGATGACAGCTCCACTGTTGCAGATGAGCCTGGGACTGTTGGTGGAGGGTATCATGACTTTGCAGGTAATCGAGCATCCACTTATAGAGTGTCAACATCCTCAATGTCAAGAGGTAACGCACAGCAAGCTAAGAGCTCTGCCACAGTCAGTAGAAACCTCAACAGGTTTTCCACCTTTGTGAAGTCAGGAGGAGAGGCGTTTGTGCTTGGGGAGGCCGCAGGCTTTGTGAAAGATGGGGACAAAATCTGCGTTATAATGGGTCAGTATGGCCCTGAGTGGCAGGAGAACCCGTACCCATTCGCTTGTTCAATTGACGACCCAACTAAACAGACTAAGTTCAAGGGCATGAAGAGCTACATGTCCTACAAGCTGACCCCCACCCACACACAGAACCAGGTGAACAGGAGGTATAAGCACTTTGACTGGCTGTACGCTCGGCTGGTGGAGAAGTTTCCCGTCATCTCAGTGCCACACATCCCAGAGAAGCAGGCCACGGGGCGCTTCGAGGAGGACTTCATCTCCAAGAGGAGGAAAGGCCTCATATGGTGGATGAACCACATGATCAGCCACCCTGTCCTGGCCAGGTGTGATGTGTTCCAGCACTTCCTGACCTGCAACAGCACAGACGAGAAGGCCTGGAAGCTGGGGAAGAGGAAGGCTGAGAAGGACGAGATGGTTGGAGCCAACTTTTTCCTCACCATCAGCCCCCCTGCTGCTCCGCTTGACTTCCAGGAGGTCGAGAGCAAGATAGACGGATTCAAGACTTTCACCAAAAGGATGGACGACAGCGCCTTTCAGCTCAACGCCACGGCCAACGAGTTTGCCCGCAAGCAGATCACTGGCTTTAAGAAGGAGTATCAGAAAGTGGGGATGTCATTCAAGGTCCTCAGCCAAGCCTTTGAAATGGACCAGCAGGCTTACTCTTCGGGACTCAACCAGGCCATCTCCTTCACTGGAGATGCGTACGAATCCATCGGAGAGTATTTTGCCGAGCAGCCCAGCAAAGATCTCGACCCCATCATGGATTTGTTAGCTCTTTACCAAGGACACCTGGCAAACTACCCAGACATCATCCATGTCCAGAAAGGTAAAATCACGCTGTCATACACATTTCATTCCTTTCTCACACAGATGTATCATTTTGCATTGGTTGCTTTCACAGGAGCCTCTAACATCCAAAGATGTTCTTTTTTTTATGTCTTTTGATTTATATCATCACATTTCAATGTATTGTTGCTTCTTCAACACTATTAAAGCAGTATTGAACATTTAGGGGGAAAAAAACGTTCGTCATCTAATGGATTCGTCGTAGTCGATTGAAAATGAATCTCCAAAAATGTAAATAATCAGAAAATGCAGTTTTCAACCCCTCAAATAAGGCTTTTCTCAGTTTGATATCATATTAAACGGAGTATGTTTGGGTTTTGTACTTGCAACACAAATCATTCAAACACATCACACTGGACTTTAAGAATCTAGGATTGACACTTTTACATTTTTGTGAAATGTTCTAGAACAAACTATACATTTATAATCATCACATTAGTGAATATTGAGAATAATTGTTAAATGTAAACTAAACTACAGAGGAATATGTCAAAGGTACACATCATTCCAATCCTAAAACAACAACAGGAGACATTTCTTATTTATCCAATGAAATGTTTTCCAACCCCAGAGATTTAGTCAATTCCAGATTCCCCATGTATAAATGTAGACAGGAAACCACATGGTACTGCTGGTGTCATAAAGTAAATACAAAGGTATTGCTGGCCCTTAAAAGATAAACACATGTTTAGTTTCAGGTAGTGTGTTGGACTTGTCAACAGCAGTCAGGTTATACTTCCCTACAGGTTATGTCACTTTGCAAAACAAATAGGCGATGTTTGCATTTGGGAATCCGTTGACATGCTTTGTTTGTCCCACCTTGTGTTACATGCATAGTGTTTCATGCGAGTGCTCTGGAGGCGGAGAACGTCCGACCTGGCCTGCTGATCACAACGCTGACCCAAAAGGAATTGCAGCATAATCCCTTATAAATGATTGTCCACATATTCTGTTGTTTTTGCACAGAGTGTCAATGTTACACTAGTCTAATCCCTCCTCCTACACGACCCCAGCCCAATGATTGTTCTCATTGTGGGGCAAAATGTCACTCTCATGATAGGCAACACTGTTATGCAAGAGGCTCAGCATTGTAGCATTCGTGTTTAGAGGGAAGCACCGCTGCTGTTCATCATATGTTTGTATGTGACACAATTGCTTCCTGCGTAAATGATAACCTGAAGCAAACATGCAACTCAATCCAAACTGCTTCTCCTCCATGTGGGTTATATTTGGCTGCCTGTTTTCTGAATATTTATATAGGAGGTCTCTTTTCAAACTGTATTCCATTTCAAATCCAAACAAGTACTAGTGCTATGATGTGAACTAATCCATCTCGCTCCATCACTTATGTTTATATCAGATCATGGTGGGAAGATGGTCTTTTTATGCACTATTCAGAACTCCCCCCTTTCGTTGACCAGGTATACATGAATGCTTGCCTTTTGACATCCTGGTCTATCATGGGTCCCCCTGCAAACACTGGGCCCATTCAGTCCACAATAGACACCACTGGGGAAACAGGACAGACTGTGTTTAGTCTGCACTGTCTGGGACACAAACTTCCCAGTCAGCTTAAATCAGGTTTGCCACGTCGTCCCCACACAGCCCAAATAAGGCCACACAGCCATTCAGATGTGATAAGCCCGGCCTAATACCACAGATAAGAAACTCTTATTTGATATCACTCATGGAAGAAGTCGCTGTGGGCAGTGTTGAGAAAAGATGGCAGAGTGCAGTGAAACCTCACTGCAACACAGCTGACAGGAGAGCCAGGGCACGCAGCAGATGAAAGGAGGAGCTGCCTGTAACACATTGAGACCCAGACTCTGATCTCATCTTGTTTTTAGTGCACTGAAGCTGTTTAGCTTCTGTATTTATGATGAGACCGGTCGAGCCTGTTTTCTTTGTGATGCACACATTCCTTTTCTCCTTAATCATCAGGGAAGAGAAGAAGGCAATCATAATGTATTTATATATAGAGGAAGTGGAGGGATATACCGGTATCGATGACAACATACCTTTAAATAACTAAATACTGGCATTAATCTTATAAGACTATGATGTTCCTGTTCCTCTTAAAATTGTTTCTGTATCTTTATGCTCTCGATTAATCTCCCTCCACTAATGCAACACACACAAGTGGGTGTAAATCCTTTTTATTTATTTACATTTTTTAATAGATATGGCAAAAATATTGTCATTGTGATTATTATTTTTGCCCACAGCAGTCTTGTAGTGATTTGATTTTGCGACAGCCCTTGAAGTAAAGTTAAACACAAAATGGGTTAAAAGCAAGCAGAGTCTTTGTGTAACCACTCACACTGTTCTGCCTTTTACTTGCGATATTATACCAGTATCTGTAAGATGCTAAAACATTTATGCCACATAGTGACAGTGATATATTGCAACAGGTAATGCGCCTGCGTTTCATTAAGGATTTCAAAAGTTCTCTCCTTCATGGCAGCTGAATGGCTGCCTGTTACTCACATTGCCTGCATGTTCCCAGGGAGAAAGGTTCAACTTATGCAAATAAGTTGAACCTTTGCTAAGGTATTTGACATTTACGCTCTGAAGTCTACTCACCTCAAAGGTTTTGTTTAATCCTCCAGCACTTGACAACTGTTATAATACTGCAGTGAAATATCTGTAATTAGTAAGAATACCATTGGCATATCATTATGTGAAGACAATACTGTAGCAATGGGAGCTTAAATATACACCTGGAGACATGTTCTGAGTTATGTGTCTGCCTTCTCCCTTTTAGTCTTTCATATATTCATTAAAACTAGGGCTGTCAGTCGATTACAATATTTAATCGCGATTAATCGCATGATTGTCCATAGTTAATCGCAAATTAATCGCACATTTTTTATCTGTTCTAAATGTACCTTAGAGGAATATTTTTCAAGTTTTTAATACTCTTATCAACATATGAGTGGACAAATATGCTTTATGCTAATGTTTATTATCATTTGAACAATGACAAATATTCTCATGAATATTAAACACAACAACCTCTGAACATTACAAATATTCGCCTCAATTCAACCTGGAACCTCTCTCATTCAATAATACAATACAACTTGTGTGTGTGTGTGTGTGTGTGTGTGTGTGTGTGTGTGTGTGTGTGTGTGGTGTGTGTGTGTGTGTGTGTGGTGGTGTGTGTGGTGTGTGTGTGTGTGTGTGTGTGTGTGTGTGTGTGTGTGTGTGTGTGTGTGTGTGTGTGTGTGTGTGTGTGTGTGTGTGTGTGTGTGTGTGTGTGTGTGTGTGTGGTGTGTGTGTGTGTGTGTGTGTGTGTGTGTGATGGATCGTTGGAGCTATGTGCAACTCAAGGCATATGCTCGAACGGGAGCTGCCTGGACGCTGCAATCAACAGCTCCATATCCGTTAGCGCAGCTAGCTAGCACCAGATGCTAACAACAACAATGCACGTAAGGATACCCTCTCTCGCTCGCTCGGGCCACACATACACACACCCTCCCGGTCCTCCCAATAGCCAGTCGGTGCCTGCCGGTGAGCGTGGAAGTGTGGTCTGCCACAAGCGGGCGGCAGGAGCGGGGCTGTCAGCATCAGCTTGTAGATGGTATTTTAAACTCGATGTGCTCTGAAACTACGGGGCGGCCAAGGAAAAAAAATACACATGCGTTAATCGCGTTAAAATAATTAGTGGCGTTAAATTTTTTTTGCATTAACGCGTTAACTTGACAGCCCTAATTAAAACACTTCCTTTTTCCACTGCGTGCGACTATCCCATCTGTCTTTTTGTGTTACTTTGCCTAAAGGTGTGAAGGAAACGCCCACAAGTGCATTTACTCTCTTATGAAGTGCGGGTTATTGCAGTCTCCATTTGAGAGTGAGGCTAGGTGTTCACAGACCAGAGTATACTTTTCATAACAGAAGTGGTCACAGACTCAGCGAGCCAAGTAGGTCAGCTGGGACTCTACTGTATGGTGCTGTTTGCGTGCAGTGGTGGAGCAATAATCAAGATTTAACGTCAATCTGAAAGACAAATGCGCTTTAGAAGTGCAGGTTGATGCTAATACGCGTGGTGAGATCATTCCCTATTTAAGATGATCTCTTTTGCATTTCTGCTCTCTTTAGGAGAAACCTATCAAAGCATGGCTTGTTAGTCTTATCAACAATGCCATTTTTAGCTCACTGTATCTGTCTCATTAGGACCGCAGAGTGACACCAGGCAGGTTTTTATTTGTCCCCTTGGAAAGAACCATGGAAATGTGAGCTGTCCCACAGACGGACACTGAACACACCGTATTGATCGTCCTCTCTTCAGGGACACCATTAGCGTTGAGCTCGACTGGGACAATGTTGGCTCATGATATCGATATCATATCGGGTGTAGCTTTCAGAAAATAATTGTGTTTCCCGCCCTTTATTTTTTGTATATTTTATTTTTGTCATAATGTGTTACTGTTGCTTGGACACAGCTTCAGATAAGAACAGGGTTTTTCTGTTTCTTTGTATTACAGGTTGTTGAGAAAGAGGAAGGGTGGAGAATGTTTTTATAAATGCTCACCGCTTACAGTCCAAAGTTAGGGGTTGGCTCTGGCTGATTACCAAAGACACTATTTGTTTTTGTAAGAGAATACGCTTATTTATAGGGCTGCCCCCTGTTTGTGGACAAATCGGTCTTTTTGGTCACAATGGACTAAACTTCTTTAGCCGAGTGGTCATTTTTATTTTTACATTCTTAACTGCATGAGCACATCTCTGGTAAAAACAAGATTTGAAGTGGTGCTTTTGGATCGTTTGTATAGATCCTTCGATTAAGTAACTACCCTACAAAATCCTATCTTCAGCATTATTGAAGCTTTAGAGCAGTGACCATCATGATGAATTGGAAATGGGGGACCCTGATGTAAACAAGACGAAAGTCTTTCTCTGGTCTGCATCCCCTTAACAATTGTATGTTTTGAGCTGTACTGTACTGTACCCAATATACAAGCTGTTAATAAACTTTTC